TCTTGCAGTGCATCATGGAACTTGCCTACCCCTGCACTAAAGGCCCACTCCCAATGAAATTGACCTAACATGGCAAATAACTTTTTCTTGGGCAGGGGAGTGCAGGTAATATAGTGAAGGGGGTGGGTGATCAGGAATCAGGGCAATCGCACCATTTCTGTACCCTTTTTTTTTTTTTTTTTTTTTTTGGTGGGGGGAGCTTCTGGTGATTGACAGCAGCAGAGGGCGGGTGCAATAGCTATTTTGCTATTGCAAAGTGAAATAGCCAATAGGAATCTAGCTATGCATTCCTATGCTGTTTTTTTTTTTTTTTTTTTTATTTTGGCTGGGGGACATCTGTGGTGAGATCTTTACACAAGAATTGCCAAGACTCATACACTAGACATGGGCAGTAAGGAGATTTAATCCTCCGTGGTTTTTTTTCTTTAATCTAAAATTGTGGAACGTTCACCAGAAAGTGTGAATACTCCATGTAGTGATAAGACAGAAGATCCCATTTCTGATCGGGTTTAGTTTGCAGTGATACTACAGAAATATTTTCATCACATTGAAGTAGGAGGGAAGTAAGGCAATCAGAGGTTCAGGTTATATGCCAACTGTAGGGCTTAACCCCCTAGTGATCAGTGACATCCATAGTACATCACTGGCAGCAGCCCGTTTAAACAGACTCCCAGCTACTAAAGACGCCTGGACTCTGTTTACATTTGTAAAGCCGACTGTCGGCTTTATAACAGAAGCGATTCTGGCAACTCAGCTGTCGCCAGATCACTTCTACAGGCCAGTAAACTTAGGCCCCCAAACCGCTGCCCCTCCTACGGCCCAGGACCGGAATTTTGGGTGTCAGTGGGCAGCTGGGGAGGAGAGTGGCAAACATCTGTTCACTGATCTCCCCACTCTAGGGGACCGGGAGCAGCACGTATTGCATGTGTAATCTGCACTTCACTAGCTTAGACTGAGTGTAAAGTAAGACTAGGGTTCTTTGGACCCCCCAGTATCACCTTAAAGAGTACTTGTCACTGCCAATCTGCTATCACATGGTGGGGCTTGTAAGCCCCCCTATGTGATTAGCAATTAAAGTTAACAAAAAGTTTTTAAAAATATTAAATGAAATAAATGTAAAAATAATAAAAAACATGACAAACACGCAAATTGGTTTCCGACACTGTCCTTCCTTCTGGAGGGTGGCTACTTTTATTCTCCTATGGTCCCTGTGTGTATTGTAAAGTAGTCACCGCTCCAAACTCACACCTGTGATGGACTACAATCTCACGTTTAGTTCACTCATTTGTATTGAGATTGTAGTCCATCATAGGAGTGAGCTTGGAGCGGTGACTACTTTACAACACACACAGGAACCATAGGAGGAGTATAAAAAGTAGCCCCCTCCAGAAGGAAGGACAGTGTCAGCACCAATTCAGAGATGATTTGAGCACCTACAGCCGAGTGATACACACATAAGATGCATTATTCTTCATAGTTAAGGTACTTGAATCCATTTTTAGAGTTTAGGTATTTAGTGTTTAGGATTTTTTTAGTTTAATGTCACTTTTAAGTCTCATCACCTATAGAAGCATCTTGCTGCCTGCAGGTTTTTCTCCTCCCTTTGCACTGAGATAAACATACAGAGCTCAGCGTAGTCTCAACATGCCGAAATGAAGCAACTCTCCTGTGCAGGAGTTACAACATCGGGACCCAACCAATTGGCCAAAGACTAGAAACCTGAAAGAAGATGGAGCCAAAGATGGCAGTGCTGGTGAGGGAGGAGCGCAGCACTGGAAGGGATTGCTTTGGCAGGCAAGTCTGCCACAATGTACTTATATGCTGTGTATACTAGCACCTTATGGCTAAATGCTCATGGGGACACTTATTCTCTCCCCCGCCCTCATAATTATATTAAATCGGTAGTAAAGTAACAGAATGTACATAGTCCGCTTATATTTTCCTGCATTCCCCCTGCTGAAAGATGCATATATATCGGGATGTGAAGGATCCACACTTCACCAAGCAACCTCTGTGGTGTGTTCTATTCACCATCATTATATCATATTCTAACTAGTGCATTTAAACATGAAAAATAGCGAAGTAAACAGTCACAGACACTAAACTAAAATACAACTGAATGAGAACTCCTGCATGAACTGATGCCGTATAAGCACACTGTCAGGGCCCATGCACACCAGATCCTAATGGAAGGGCACCAACAAATGAATGGGGCAAGCTCACAGCGCTCCATTTCGTTCCGTTGAGCTGAACATGCACTACTTTTTTTCAGTGCAACGGATCTGGTGTGAACGAGCTCCATTCACACCCATTCATTTTTTCGGTGCTTTCCATTAGCATCCATTAAAAAATAGATCATTTTGGGGTGAATGAACCGTCACTCTCTTTGGTTAGTCCCCACAAACATGAAAACAAAGTAGTCGCCTTCCGAGAACTGAGGGCACTACCAGCATTAACACTTTTATTGAATTTCGTATAGCAGCAGAAGACTAAACCGCACCGGTCACAGATACAAGATGGAGAGTGTCGGGAGGAAATCCCTCAGCCCACGCCGGCCAGCATATGGACATTTCCTATCGCTACACTAATGCGGTTACAGAGAACTTATTTACTTGGGAGCCTTTAATCATTTAGAGGACCAGACTGGAAACATGCAATTTTATTTTTACTCTGGTCGAGTGCGTGCTTTAGAAATATATCACGATGGGCTGAGGATTATGTGACTTTTACAATGACCGGCCGATATAAAACTGCTGAACAGATGAACATTTTATACTTGGAAAGAAAACACTTGTAATGCGATTTCCCGAACGGTTACTGAAGCATGATTTGGTTAGTTCTGAGACACTTCCAGGCCTGCGTACCCTCAAAATGCCTGGAAGGCTAACCATATGAAATTACATTCCAAATATTCAATTGTAAGTCTGAAAATAAAAGAACAGTTGCTATTGGCAACAGACCATCAAACATTAGCCCAGACATCCAGCCCTAGGTCAGTTATGGCTCAGAGTAAAATCCCCGGGTGTGCTTTTCATAATTCCAGCTGCCCCCAGACAATGGTCAATGGAAGTAATAAGCCGACTGCTATTCATATTTAATAAGCCCCGTTCACATATAGCGAATTGTCCCGCGATTTCCGCCGCGATATCGCGCATTTTTGCCGCGCGATATCGCGAGAAGTCGCCGGCCAATGTTATTCAATGGAGCTGTCTTAACTCCATGTCGCTCGTCGCGGTCGCAAGTCGCTTCTACCGGACCCTTTTTTCTGCGGATTTTGCGCGGTTTCGCTTTTTTTCTATGGAGCCCGACGGGGAAGGTCGCGCTACCGTCGCTGGAACGTCGCCCCGAAAGTCGCGCTATCCCGGCCGTGCGGATCCGCTGCAAAAGGTATGTCGCTAGGTGTGAATGGTGTCTAACGCCAAGGTTTTCTACCTGGCTAAGCAGCTCTACTCTGCTTCTACTACGTAGTGTCCTAGATCAGAACTTTTAAAGCGTGAAGTGTGGTTTTAAAGTAAACCTGTCAGCAATGTTTAATCTTCAAAAAAGGTCCTCCCTAAAAGCATATACATTGGGGGAATTAAAGAGTGGTGCAGGCATAGATCCTAAACTGGGAAAACGGAGCACATCCTGCCAATTAAAGTGGGCACCAGCGATCTGCTCCATTTTCAGTGCCGCTAACATAGAAAGCCAGAGCCAATTCTTTGGCTCCCACTGCCCAGGAAAGCTGTTAACACTACGTTTGCAGGGGATATGATCCAGGGATAGGCAGGGAACAGGCATGTAAGCTGAGCGGTCCAGTGTGGTGGGATCTGCAGCAGTTTTCTATATGGAAGATCTGCCACAATCCCTTTGTTAAAGAAAAACTCTCGGGGGAAATTAAAAAAAAATATTAATCCTTGCAGTGTGGCTACCCGCGCATTACAAGGGTTTAGTGCTCATTTGGGTCTAGTTTAAAAAAAAAAAAAAAAAATTTTTTCCCCCCCCTCCCCCCCCAGG